GGAAGGCGACCCCTGTGTTTGCTGTCTAATTAGAGGCACAAAATGAGCATGTCTGGCCTTCCATGCTTGTTCTCAAGCACGGGGTAAGTACTGTAGACATGAAGCCATCTGGTTGCTCACAATCACTCAAGACCATCACAAACACGCAGGGCAGATGTCCTGGGAATTCAACATGTAGTTTCCCCAGTCTCAGGCCTTTAACTAAGCAGATATTGGGGAGCTAATCCTGTGTAGCTTCCAGCCTGGGTTGGGCTTGTCTGGCTAAAAAATGGCACTGACCCAGCCAAGCAGCCAGCCCAAAATGGGCTTCACACCACGTGGAAATGGAGGAATGCGCCATTGTTATTTTCTTCTTTCTTATCAAGCCCCATTAGCTGGAGCGAGGAAGGAACAAAACCAGGCTGGGAAAACATGTTGTTTCACTGGGTAAAAATTTACTACAAAGGAAATGATTTTTGCCATGTCCAAAAAAGGAAGAATGGCAGCCTGGAGAAGGTGTAGTGTTCCAAGGCCTTTGGAAGGCTTTTCCCAGTGTCGCCCAGCGAGAATGTTGCCCCTAGAGAGATTTGGCCAAGGTTATGGCTGCAGGCTCTCAAAGCCAACTGGTGCCTGTTGAGCCTGCTCACAGTACTGGAGTGAAGATGATGTGGGAGAGAGGGAGGAAGCCCAGACCAAGTTAAGGCTTCCTCTTCCTGGGAATTCTGTACACACCCACCGTTCATACCCTTCCACGTGCAGGTGCCTAGTTCTGTGGGTCACCAATGGGTGCACGGTGCCAAAGTGGAAATGGACACGTCTCCCTGCCTCTCATCTCAGTCGCCTGCTGTATGGCAGAAGGTGGAGGGCAAGTCCATGGCTTTGGCTATGGCTAAACCAGAACATTATTGTAGGTCCCCTGAGTCCTGGGCTGTCGTGTTGGAGTCTGGTGAAATCCAGAGTAGAGTTTCCAGAAGACAGGCACCAAAGATCCCCATAGTCCACAGTTGTTACAAGGGAGGGACACAGTTGTCACTGGGAAGGGAACTGAAATTTGCTGGGCAACAGTGAAAGGACCCACACTTGGCTTCATTTTCCAGTACCGCTGGCAACCTATGTGGCCACTGCAGCAGCAGCTCCCAAATGCAGAATAGCAGAGCTGAGAAGCCGATGAACTCACATGTTATTGTCCAGTGGCAGAGGGCAGGAACCCGGGTTCACACGGGCTCAGTTCCCAGTGTTCATCTTCTGTGCTCCTCCTTCTCATTGTGGAAGTTTCTGTCCTTCCCTCTTTCCTTCTCTTACAGATTGTTGCTGGGAGAATAGCTCAGAGTGTGTTCACCCTAGGAGCGTGAAAGAGGCCTTAGCATTTGCTGTGTTTTATTCCCTTTAAAGCTCATGTTATGAAAACACAGCAAGTGCAAAGAAACTATGTAATACATGAGAATGTATATTATAAAAAACATTGGATTTTAACTTTTTTTTCACTTCACCAACATAAAATCATACTTTAAATTCCACAGTTCCATGAACTTTCTGCAGTGCATGCACCTAGGATATATATATTCAGATATGACAAAAGGCTGATAATGTGTGTGCTATTTGTATGCAGATGTATTTATGCACATTTGTATCAATACAGTATGTCTCATGCCCACTTACCTGCAGGGATTTTTGTGGAATAATGTCTGAGTTAATGCTAAGACCATGCCTGCATTGCTAATTTTCTGTGGGGCAGAGAGGTGGGTTTTCTGGCGTTTTCCAGGTGGGTATAGAATGGGCACAGGCATTGATCAAGCTGCCCAGGTCAGTGGAGCTAAGCCTTGTGTGCAGAGCGATCATTTCTGGGCAGGCACATTGCCAGGCTTCTCCAGATTCCAGAAAGTTCAGCGAGGGCTGTTTTCCTCCAAGTTGTTAGGGTGCTAATTTTCTAGACAGCAGCTGGGCATTCCCCTGCCTGGAGAACAACCAGCTATGATTGATAGGGCCAAATCCCCCGGGCAGCAGAACTCAGTACAGGCCATTCTAGGGCTGCCCAGGTGCCCCTGGTGCCTGCTTCACTCCTGGTATAGGGAAGAAAGCCCTGCCAAAGAATATCCTTTGAATATCTCTATACCTGTCTCCTCTGTACTCTAAGTCAGATGTGTTGAGTAGAACAACCTGGACTGTGAACCCCGCGGGGAAGGACATGATGTGGGTGTTCCCAGATGGAGGCCCGGCAGGTGTGGAGGCTGGCAGCGTAGCAGTGTGTGGGGTTGTTCTCACAGGACACACAGCAATGTGCACTTGTCAGCTACTTGGCTGGGCAAACCCTGTCCAGGGAATTCAAGGCACTCACACATTCATTCATTTGAAGGCCACTGAGTATTGACGGTGGATGTGGCATTACGGCAGGTTTGCTGCCAAGACATGAGGATGGGAAACTTCCTGCACAAAACTCCAGACTTAATGAGCTCTCAGAACACACACTCACACGGGCTATCATAGGCCCTCCAATACTTATTCCCTGGGGAACCCCTTGCCCCACATTTCCCCTCAAGGCAGGAAGAAAGAGCAGAAATTCCCAAGGCAGGGCTGTTCTCAGGGCACAATCGCCATCTGTCACTCCCTGCTGGGAACATGTCAACATGCGTTGGCTGATAGTGGCGTTATTTATTGTCACAGCCTTCGATATGGATTTGAACAGGAGTGGCTGCAGGCCAAGCATTCTTTACCCACTCCCGTGGGACACTTGGCCCAGTGGGCAGAGCTGGGGTGGAGCAGGTCAAGGGCAGAGGCAGGAGTCCCTGCAGGGCAGGCTGGGGTGGGTTCTTTGCTGGAGCCAGGTGCCTGTGGAGAGTGGTAACACCTGTGGGGCCCAGACACCCGAGCACTCGGGGCAGGAGATGAGGGTGCAGCAGTGCCATCAGTATGGGTGGTGGGAGGTTTCACGTGGTCAGGTGTCCTTGATTTCCTGCAGGTATAGCATGCAGAGCCCCATGCAACACAAGGCCGTTATCCTCAGGAGGCTTGGACGCTGGGCCCTGAACAGCCCACACCTCCTGCAAAAGGGTCATCTGGTTGGCAGGTGACAATAGCCACAGTGTCCAGAGGTGGCAGCTGGAGGTGGAGTAGGAGAGGGGCAGCCAGAACACTATGCTCCCTGCTCAGCTGGCCCTGCCAGCTGCTCCCAATCGCGCTTGGTCCCAGAGGATGTGGCCTCTGTCATTCCTGCATGGAAAGTGTTTAGCATCGGCTGGGTGCTTGGTGCTGGTTAGCTCTGTGAGCTCCCTTTTCCCGTCTGGAAAGTGGAGGTCCTGAGCCCACCTTGCAGGGGATGGTTGTGAAAATTAGCGTATCAGAAGTGCTATCAATGGGCCCGGCGCGGTGGCGCAGTGGTTAAGGTCCTCGCCTTGAACGCCCGGGATCCCATATGGGCGCCGGTTCTAATCCTGGCGGCCCCTCTTCCCATCCAGCTCCCTGCTTGTGGCCTGGGAAAGCAGTCGAGGACAGCCCAAGGCTTTGGGACCCTGCACCCGCGTGGGAGACCTGGAAGAGGCTCCTGGCTTCGGATCGGCATAGCAGCGGCTGTTGCGCTCACTTGGGGAGTGAATCATCGGACAGAAGATCTTCCTCTCTGTCTCTCCTCTCTGTATATCCGCCTTTCCAATAAAAATAAAATAAATCTTTAAAAAAAAAAAAAAAGAAGTGCTATCAAGTGCACCATATGGCAAGTTGCAGCTTTGTATGTGACTTCCAGGAGCAGTGGGCCCTGTACTGGAGTTGGGGAGAAGATGAGGAGAAGTAAGACTGAAGCAGGGATCAGGGTGGGGGGTCTGGGCAGGTGAGGGCAGGACCCCAAAGTCAACAGGCATGGGGGAAGGCCAGGTGGATCTGGAGCAGTCCTGAGACTAGGCTGGTGCACGGGTGTCACAGCAAGAGGCACCTGGAGGTCCTGGATGGGGAGCCAGGGTGCTCTGCCCTGAAGCGCAGGGCAAGGTGACAGGGAAGACGTATGCTTCAGTTTGAACATGATCTTAACAGTGACTGTGCCTTGTGCCTGCACTGCACGCCCTGGGAAATATGAGAGTTGTGAACACACCCAGCCCTAGTGCTGTGCACCAAAGCTGGCTGCGGAGCAGTGGGAGATGATCCAGGCACAGACACTTCACCCCAGGAGTGCAGTGAGACTAGAGGGCTCCTTGGAGCTCTGGGAAGGGGCAGGAACCCAGGCTCTGAGATTCCCCCGGATGAATACAGCCCAGCAGCTGGACTGCCAGGATCTACTGGCAGGGGGCACTCTTTTTACTATTAAATGCTTCAGGAGGGGAGCTGGCATGGCAGCACAGCAGGTTAAATGGTTGCCTACAATGCCACCATCTCTTATAAGCACTGGTTCGAGTCTTGGTTGCTCCATTTTCCATAAAGCTCCCTACTAATGAAAACTGAAAGGCAGCAAATGACAGCCACCACATGGGAGACTTATCTAAGCTCCTGGTTCCTGGCATTGGCCAGACCCAGCTCCATCTCTTGTGGTCATTTGGGAGATGAGCCAGCAGATGAATCTCTCTCCCCCTTCACCCCATCCCCCCCTCCGTAACTCTGTCATTGAAATTTAAAACAAAAATCAATATTAAAAAAAAACATGCTCAGAGATGCTTATTATCCCGCACCTGCAGTAGATATTCACCAACCTTTGTTTAACACATGGATGTTCAACACATGGATGAGCAAGTCTAATACGACATGCCTTTGTCAATCAAATAATGGTTTCTGTCAAGATAATGGACTTCCAGAATGTGATAGCACAGCCAAGGGACACAGAGCAGATGTTCCAGGCTTTCCCATCTCTCTCCTGATTCTGTTGGGCTGAGCTGCCATGTCCCCTGCCATGGGAGGTCGGTGTCTCCTTAGATACAACCCAGTGGCATCACCAACTGTCCACCAGCTGAGACAAGCAGGTGACTGGCACCTCTGGTGACTTGGAAGCTCTGGAAACGTGGGTGATGTTCTCTGGCATGTTCACGTGTGTGTTTGTATTTCAGATGTGGACGAATGTGCAACCGATTCCCACCAGTGCAACCCCACCCAGATCTGCATCAACACTGAAGGAGGTTACACCTGCTCCTGCACAGACGGATACTGGCTGCTGGAAGGCCAGTGCTTAGGTACCAGCTGTCCAGGGCTCCCAGGCACTGGGAAGTGAATGGTTCCAGGGCTAGTATGCAATGTGGGTATGGTTGGGTGGTGGTTGGTCGGGGGTAGAGGGGAGAGTCAAAAGCTGTTGGGCTTATGGCGATCACCACCCCTTTTAAATAAGTTGTTGCCATCATTGTCATGTCATAGACTGGGAGAAATAGGCAGAGAATGCCCGTTGACTGCTTTAGTCCCCCAAATGCCACAACAGCTGGAATTTAGGCAAACCCAAGCCCAAACTAGTATCTTGTGTGGGTGGTGGGGACCCAACAATGTACGTATGCCAGCCCCATGGCCTCCCATTAACAGGAGAGTGGAGACAAGCCGGGACCAGGAGCTGAGCTCAGGCACTTGTATGGGGCATTGTGGCATCTCAGCCACTTTCTTCATGGCTAGGCCAGACGCCTGCCTCATCATCACAGTTCCTGAATATGTTTTTTAGGATCATATCCAGGCCTCCTGCCTGCCCTCAGGAGGTTTATCCTAAGCCGGGAAGGGATAGAGTGAGGATTACTCTGCCCCAGTTAGAAATCACAACGAAGAAAAATGAACACTTTGCCTTAGAAGGACACGTTCCAAGTCTCACATGTGGACGAACAGGGCCAGACAGACAGGACCTCATCTTTGCCTCCCCCCGCCAGCCGCTCTCCACGACCTCGTCTTTTCCTCCCAAGGAGTTGGTCATCAGCCCTTAAGGGTTTTGTCTCTCCCGGTTGGCATCATGATCTGCTCTCTCTTTATTTTTGCTGGAGAGCTCTTTGCCTTTCCTTTCCCTTGTTTTGGGCTCCGCCAAATGAATGAATTCATATCTAGCTGTCACTTTGAGTTCTATTTCTAGGGTGTGACTTCTGTGCTGTATTTTCTTGGAAAAGCCCTGCCAGTTTAAGTTGTCTAGGACACTAGTCTGTGGTTTGAATGTGAGTGCTAGAGGAGCAGAGAAGCAGATCCAAACAGCATCATGGAAACAAAAAATGAAAGGGGCCTCTCTCCATGCCTCTGTTGATTCAGGCTGAGCTCGGGTGTGCCCTCAAGGCCTGGCTTGGCTTGCTTCTGCTTTGCAGACAGCATGGAAGAGCTGGTGCACACAGACATTGGAGAATATGACAACTGCAGTGCATTGAAGCAACCTCTGCTCTCACAGAACATTTTATACTACTGAGTCAAGGAATTGACGATGTAGAATTTCTTGGAGTCAGAAGGGATGTGGATCTTATGTCATCCAACTTTGACAGAGTTAGAGACTGTGGCTCAAAAAACGCAGAGTGCTAACTAGCCTGAAGATGAATTGGTTCCATCTCTGGCCTCCTGCGCCTCCGGCCAGTCTTCGCTTTCAGCATAGGCAGCGCTAGAGAGACAGAGGCGACCAGACTACACGGGCTCCATTCTAGAGACTTTGAGGCAGTGAAACCCCTCCTGCCTTGGGACATTCCTCTGCCTGGGGAGGGGTTTTCTCTCCCACAGAGCCCTCACCTGGGGGAGGGGTGCTCCCAGAGGCGCGCCCCCCCACCGGTGCCATGGCACACAGTCAGCTCACGCTGCATGGCAGAGACGACTGACCCTTCCTAGTTGTGGATGAACCCATGATTTCTCCTGGCCAAACTCATTTGTGTTCTAGAACACACATTTCATGGCCACCCACCACCCACTCCATGTGGTTAGGGAGGCATTGCTTTTGCAAACAAACAAGGAGCATATGACCAACTGCACCCTGGGAAGAGGAGCAATCCAGTGGGCTGTCCAAGCGGGGGCACCCCAAGGCTCAGGGGCTAGGCCGAAAGTGGCTGGAGCAGTGGTGGGTGTTTGGCATAGCAGTTAAGAAATAATATTTGAGGCATGCACATTCACCCTGAGATGCCTGGTTTGAGCCCTGGCTCCTCCATTTCCAATCCGGCTTCCTGTTAGTGTGCACTCTGGGAGACAGCAGGTGGTGGCCCAAGTAGTTGATCTCCTGTCACCCATGTGGAAGACCAGATGGCTCCTGGTGTCAGTGTGGCCTGACCCTGGCTACGTGGGCATTTGGAGAGTGAATCAGCAGGTGGATGATCTCTTTCAGTCTCTCCTTTCTCTCCTCTCTGCCTGTCATCTTTCAAATAAGATGACAATAAATAAATTAAAACTTTAGACAGAAGTAAGAGGACCTCAGAGACAAAATAGAACTTCAGGGGCATGGCACAGACTCAGAAGACAGAGACTGAAATGGCCTGGGAAGCAAGGGTCCATCCTGGCACAGCCTTTGAGGGTCTGAGCTGCTCACCAAAGCCTGGGATGCCTGGGCCCTAGTGCCGTGGAACTGGGGTCCCAGAGAGAGCAACGTGGGTAATTTGTGTGTGGGCAGGGGGGAGGGAAGATAAATCAAGGACCAGTAACAGGTGCAGTCAGGTCAACTGGCCTCAGCAGGAGCCAGAACAGGTGAGGACTTTGTCTCCCCCTGGAGGCCAGAGGTTCATTCAGGAGGCCCTACCGGAGGGGCATGAATTCTGCCAGTCAGTCAGCTCAAGGAGTAGACAAGTGCTTTGCTGGCAATGCCAGGCACCTCGTGGATTGATTCACGTGTCCACTAAGTCTTATTGTCCAGCTCTGCTAGAAGGGTCCGCTCACCCCTCAGGCTGCTGCTCCCTGTGGCAGGCCAACATGGCTCGGAGGATGCACATCTATCCAGGGTGTTCTGTCTGCTCTAATGCAGGGAGGAGATGCAAGGTGAATGGCAGTGTACTTGGGTTCCTGGACCCAGAGGCTCCAGACAGTAGTGCAGCCCAGCCGTCCTGGCCGGTGCTGCCTCTGGTTCCTGACCGCTGAGCACTTTTATTGTTAACAGTACTGGCAGGGAGCCACATATGGTGCTATTGTGGCTTCTTCTGACACATCAGGCTCACTTGTCCCTTCTCAGACTGGTAAAAAGCCCATATAGAATCTTCGATTTACATTGTAAGAGTTGATAGAATCCAAGACACTCTCTGGCCCTGTGTTCCACTCGGGCAGAAGTCCCACCTACAGCTGCCAACTTGCCAGAAGGGTTCGGGGCACCTCAGGATTTAGAGAGGAAGGTGGAGAGCAGTCCTGACACTTGGTGGGAGCTTCTTGGCACCAGATGCCTCCTTCATTTCCCTGGGTGAGCCTGTTCTAGGAGGAGTGGGCACGGATGCCACGCTGGCTGTGGCATCATTGAGATAGGAGGGGACCCGCCTCACCCTGCCTTGTGTTTCTGTTTGCAGACATTGATGAATGTCGCTATGGCTACTGCCAGCAGCTCTGTGCAAATGTTCCTGGCTCCTATTCCTGTACGTGCAACCCTGGCTTTACCCTCAATGAAGACGGAAGGTCTTGCCAAGGTAGGTGACGTGCAAGATCGCTTGAACAGGCTGCCAAACCCTGAATGCAAAATGCCACCTTTGAGCTGTGCTCCAGTTGCCTATCACCTCCTAGCCATCCCCACTGTTTACAGAAAACTGACACCTGAGCTGGGAAGCATCACAAGCAGTGCAGTGAGGACTGTTGGGATTAGACCCATCACCTGGCCAGGGAGCTTAGCGCTTCAAGGGCTTAATTCAGCTGGCACCTCCTCCTACAGGTACTCTCCATTCTGGGCCGGGGGGGCCTGGTAACAAAGACCCCCAAAGATGCCCAACAGGTTCCAGAAGACAACAAAGGCATGCTCTGTTTCCACACCACAATCATTGATAAGCAAGAAAAACAAGAGTCTGTGCCTGTTGCAGCTTCAGCTTCCTCCGCCCTCAGTTGGAAGGCTTCTGGTGCTCAGGAAGTGAATGAGGGACTTCACCCAAGGAATTAGTGCAAGTCCTGGCTCTGCCCCCCCTTCCTGCTCCGGTCCCTACCCTTGGGCCCCTGCTCTGGGCTTCCAGGCCCTGACAGTCACCAGGAGGTGTGGTGTACAGGTCGCACTGGGGATGTAGAATAAGCGCCTTGTCTGGCGTCACCACCAGGTCACGCAGAGCCCCATTTCCTTGTCACGCCACTTGGGCTCTGGCCAGTGGGCCCTCAGCCAGCTCAATGGAGGCTGTTCTGTCTGTATTAGCTTCATCAGATTGCAAATGCTGGGTAAACAGGAAGGCATCAGAGTGGCAGAACCAGAGCCAGGCCTTCTAGAATCAGTTCTGCCCACCGTGCCAAGACATCTCTCAGCTGTGTGCCTGTTGCCAGCAGGGGCCATTTTCTCCTGAGAGCAGAGGCTGGTCACAGGGTAGGAGTAGAGTGAGGAAGCTGATAGAACAGGGCCCTTCCTGCCCGCTGGAATAGGGAGCAGGCGCCTGGCTCCCCGGCCCTTGAGATAAGTGGTTTAGAGCAGCTGCAAGTTTCTCAGCGCCCAGGCCGGCGGGTGGGACTAGCTGACAGGTTCTCCCTGCAGGGTGGCACCATGTGCCCAGCACCTCCCCAAGGAGCAGCTATGCACAGCAGAGCCAAAGGGGATGAGACCTGTGACCTGGAGCAGGTGGCACACCTGGCAATGCCAAGTACAGTGGTAGGATAAGGTGACAGCACACTCCCAGGCCTGAACATGGAGACCAGGCTCTTCAAATTGCGTCAGAGGGGCCCCTGGGCCACAGAGCGTGAAGCCTTTGTCATCCTAATGCCTCGTGCGTGGGCTGGTCAAGGTCACAGGACAGCAGCAGCCTTGTGGGAATAGACAGGCGGGAGTTACGGCTTTGCAGCTTCAGGAGATTGCCCAGCTTCGCCGCAGTCCTCTCCATAACCCGCTTAGCCTGTGCAGTGAGGCTGTGGTCCTGGAGCAGAGCTTGAATGTGAGATCCTTATATGAGAAACAGTCATGGTCTTTGTTTATGGAAGTCGATGAGAGTGAGAGAAGAGCTGGTGGGGATGGCATGCAGCAGGTGTGGCCTGAACATCTTTGTGGGAGTAGACTAGCAGGTGGACATGCACACACATAAGCACTCTATAAAACTCATGGAAATGGAATGAGGAGATGTATTTATTTTGATATCCCTTGAAAGTGAAGTCCATGCATATACTATATGCTTTTTTTGTAATACTCATTTTCCATGAACTTTCTGCAGACACCAGATTTGCCTGGATCTCAGATGTTTTGCAGCAAGTGGTGCCTCTGGCTGAGCTCCATTTGACGCAGTCATGGCAGGTGCCATCTCGACAGCATGTATCTGAGATATTTTCCTTGGTCCCAGGGAGAATCTTGGGGTTAGAGCTACTCGCCCCATGTGTCCTGGGTTGTGGATGTTGGGGCCCTGCGGGGCCGGTCTTGTGGTGGTAGTAGAGTCTGTATCATGCCTGGCTGATGGCCAACAGTGTGCTTTGGCTTTGTGCAGATGTGAATGAGTGCGCCACAGAGAACCCCTGTGTGCAAAGCTGTGTCAACACCTATGGCTCTTTCATCTGCCGCTGCGACCCGGGATATGAACTGGAGGATGATGGTGTTCGCTGCACTGGTAATGAGCTTGCCATTGGAGTCTCCTGCTGGGCTGGGGCACCTGAGGGGTGGGGGATGGCAAGCGCTTCCTGCACAGGTGTTTCCTCTCATTTCCTGGACACACATCTGGGTTGGGACATTTCCCAGTGTAAGAGGGTCCAAAGCACATAGAACAGAGGTGAACCACTGGGAGGGGAAAAGGGACATCATCTTTCCTGTCATCTGATCCCTAAAGCGAAAGTCAGCACGGCCACCTTCAGGGACCTGAGACGGAGTTGATGAGGGTGGAGAGATGCTCTGTTTGGCGCATCAACTTGAGTTACCTGTCCTCACTGGCACTGACTCGAGTCCTACTGACCCGAAAACCATGGCATATCTCATCAGATAGGGCGGGTGGGGCGTGGGAGGAATGAGATCATGGACATATAAACACACACACTTTTGTGAACTTCTGAAATCTCTCCAGAGGACCAGGGCCTAGCTCCAAGCCTGGCAGATCATCAGCTCACAATAAGCAGGGCCTGAAAATCCGTGAATGAAGGCTTGATGGCCAGTGCATGAAGTCATCATCGTTTGTTGTGCGAACATAGACGTGGTGGCTGGGTTGACCTTTCAGAAATTCCTCCCAAGCCCAAAGGACTGCAAGTCTCTCCCCGCACTTGTTTGCTGACTGTATTCGAATTTTCTTATTAACCACCTCTGTTTCCTCTGGAAAATTCCATTTGAATTTCCTAGACAGTGAGAAAGCTGTTACGGCACTGGCAGCTCCTAGAGAAGAGGAACCACACTCCATTCCTGTTGGTTTCACTCGCATCCCACACAGAGCTGTGTAGCACTCCATCCGCTTCGCTTCCATTCCCACTGTATTTCTGCTTCCTTCTCTTTGCTTGTTTTCTGTAAACGTGGAAGAAAACGCCCTTCCTCCACTTTGGGCATTGTTGGTGAATTGGAAGCATCTGTGTTTTCTGCACCTCACTGGACTTTGCAAAGGAAGTGGGCCACATTACAGCCAGGAAGTCTTGCTGTCCTAGAGTAGCATTTCCTAAGCTGGGGTTTTGCAGTAACTGGATTGATCTCCGGAGAGTCCTAGTGACTCAGCCCCCCCAAAACAAAGGAGTACTTCTCTCTGAGACCTGGAAATCTGGTACACACAGGCAACCACAGCGCCTTTAAACATCAGTCCAGGAGCAGAAACCCATGCCTTTGGGCAATGAGAACCAGCCAACTGCTTCTCAAAACTGGCCTCCCACCCCCAGCATACTGCTGGGTACTCCAAGTCCAGCGTTGTGAAATGGGTCAGTTCTTCCTCCAGACTCCCTGTGGAGCCACAGCCGGATGGAGCCATCTGCATGGGAAACTGCGTAGGCGCTGAGTGAGGCTGAGTTTAAATTGGCGCTTAACCCTGACCCACTATCCTGAGTCAAATCATTTCCTTTGTTAAAAAAAAAAATCCACTGACCAACCAGTCTGATGCTTAGACAGATTGATGGACCAAAAGCGGCATTTCACGTTCATCCGTCTTCCTGAAATGGAAGGATGCGAGGCTTCGGGTGCCTCCAGGAACCTGCATCCTTGCTGGTCAGGCATGACTTCAGTTGACTTGCTTTACACCTCTCCCCTCTCCCCGCAGCGGTCGCTGGGATGCCCTTTTTTCCTTAGAACCTTTCTTTCTGCTGCAGCTTGGTGAATAGGACTGGCGGGGAGGGAGGGTGTGTCTCTGGCTCTTCCTTCCTTCCTCCCTTGCTTCCTCTCCGTGGCAGACACAGCTGTGTTATCACAGCTGGTGTGGCAGCAGACCGCTCCTAGTCCTCCACATCTCTCAGGGATTTGCTGAGCTGAGCCCAACCTGTAAACCATGGTGGGGTTTCAGTGTCCGGCCAGAAAAGGGTGGAGCCACAGCCCTTCAGGGGCAGGTGGGCGCGGCCCTATAGCCCCTCCCTGCCCAGTGGGAGACACTGGTCTTCTCCCTGCTTGAGGCATTTCCCCAGTCCCTGGACTGCCGGCATCCTCCCTTCCCTACCCCATTACTCCTGAGCACTGTTTACTCAAAGAGACGCTGTAGCATCCTCCTCTGTGTGTGAGACCCAGAGGTGGGCTGGCTGGGTTCACGCTCCAGATTTTCCACTTACTGGTTGTTATTGAACTTGGTCAAGTGACCTAACCGTTTGCAAGCTTCAACTTTTCTTCTGTAAGTTGTGGACGTGGGAACAGCACCTGCCCCATAGTGCTGAGGTGGGGCTGAGAGATGAGATCCAGAGAGCATTTACCCTGCTGCTTGGCCCGCAGGGAGCCTCCGGAGTTGACAAGTGTCACTGCCACTCTGTGCCATCAGACCCTTTGCTGTGACAGGCTGGGGCGGGGACCTGGGCCTCTTATAGCTTTCTGGGGGAGTTGGAGGAAGAATGATAGATTCCACCTGTGCACACCTCCAAATGGCAAATCAGTGTGCTGCTTCTGCTGGTCCATCACCCAATGCCTGAAGATGCCTGATAGGAAACAAGAAGTGTTGTTTCCCAGACATCACATGGGGAAGCAGGCTCGTGTGCGAGCCGAGCCACCAGTGGTGTGTTAGTGCAAGAGAGCAATCCAAGGACACATCACATGGGGAAACGAGGGAGAACAAGCTTTTGGGAAACAACAAATGCAAGAAAAACATGTTTTCTTTGGCTTGCTTGCCGAATGAGGCTCAAACTAGGGCTCTCTTGCCAAACTGCGTGTGGGGCGGGGATGTCTTTGCTAGAAGGCTTGCTTCTGCATCGACTGTGACAGCCCATGGGGACCACCACGATTCCCCAGCTCTGCAGCCAGAGGGGCCCTGATCCAGGCTGGTGAAAGGCACTGCCTCTACGGGGCCATCTGAGCTGGCAGGTGGTGGGGAGTTTGTCTTTCAAGGAAGGTTTTTACTGCAGTGACTTTTTTTTTTTTTTTTTTAATACAACTGACAGCCCCTCCCCAGCCTTCTGGGCGCGTCCCCTTTTTTTCCTACGGGATTCCAGAAATGCTTTTGTTCCTTAACTTGGGGCGGTGGGAATCTGCTACAATGTGTGGGTCCTGGGGAAGAGCTCTACAGGCAAACAGCTGTCAGGTGCTTGACAGCTCCCAGGTGGGGGTGGACTCACTTGCACGGCAAAAGGACTCCATTGGGAGCAACTGATGCGACTGGGCAGAGGCTGGTGGGAGCTTTGTGCAGGTGGATTTTAGCTCCATGAAATGTCTTAATAATTAGAGCTGTGTTCAGTAGGGAGTGAGCTTCCTGCCAGTGGTAGGGCTCAAGGAATGAATTAGGGCCAGTGTTGTGAGTGCAGTGGATTAAGCCACCACCTGTGACACCACCATCCTGTATGGGCACTCGTTTATGTCCTGGTTGCTCCACTTCTGATCCAACTCCCAGCTAATACACCTGGGAGGGCAGTGCATAAAAAAAGCAGTGAACTCATGTGGGTGACCAGGAAGAAGCTCCAGGTTTCTGACTTGGGCTCAGCCCAGTTCTGGTAATTGTGGCCATTTGGGAAGTGAACCAGCAGATGGAATCTCTCTTTCTGACCCCACCTTTCAAATAAACAAATAAATCTTTTTTAAAAAGAAGTGAATTTATAACTTGTTGACAGTAAAGCTATTGTTTGTGTCTGGAGAGCACGGGAGTTGGCGTAGCTGGCTGCTAGTCTCCTGTTCTTGGTAGTTGTAAACAGCAGGTGTAACCTTGTCACCCCCCAGATATGGACGAGTGCAGCTTCTCTGAGTTCCTCTGCCAACATGAGTGTGTGAACCAGCCCGGCACATACTTCTGCTCCTGCCCCACAGGCTACATCCTGCTGGACGACAACCGAAGCTGCCAGGGTAAGGTTGTCCTGGAGGAAGTGCAAGGTGGTGTTGACTAAGGGCCACATGGGTGTCCTCCCTGACGAATCCTGTGCCAGGGATGAGGTGGGAGTGGGTGCTGGAGGTGCAGGGAAAGGCAGGATGCCTGGGGTGGTGCCTTCCCCACTGTGACCTGCCTTTTAGCCAGGACCCCACTCCCACTGTGGTCATGAACTCTGCAGGTACAGGTGGCCACCTCTAAGGGTCAGTTCCTGCCTTTACAGGCTCGTCTCTGTGGTCCCTCCATGGCCTGCTCCAGACACAGCCATGTGATCCTGGCTCAGGAATCAAAGGCCAGGCTGTCTCAGGCAACCTGCAGTGCAGCTGGCTCAGCCTTCCTCTATTGATAGATCTATTGATCTATCCTGCTTTGTTTTCCATTTGTCTCCACATGTGCAGAGAATGGATGATCAGGAGACCTCCTGCACCTGACTGCTGTGTCCTGCGAGGGCCAGGACAAACGGGCTAGTCTTCTCCTGATAGGTTGCTTGGCCTGATTGACAGCCTTATACTCCAACCACTGTGGGGATCAGTGCAGAGGTGATGGGCCCTATTTCCAGCCTCCGAGCCTGCCTGGCCCCAAAACTAAGTGAGAATTCTCGCTAGGAGTGCTGGGCAATAGGAATACTGCATGAGCTACCAAGATGAACCAGCAAAGTTATGTTTTCTGGTAGCCACACTGAGTAAAACCAAGCAAGTAAAATTCCATATAATGCCATATTTTATTTAATGTAATGTGATCTAAGAGATTATCATTTCAACACATACTGAATATAAAAATGATTGAGGTGGTTCACATTCTTTCAGAGCTATAGACATCTGGTGTGTGTGTTGTCTGCTTACAGCACATTGCAGTTTGGACTTACTCAGTATAGGTGGCCACATGTGGCCGCTTGCTCCTGAGTAAGACTGGGGCAGGCCTGCCCTGACCCCTGCTCCTAGCCCTGGGCTTGGCAGAGCACTGCCTCACTCCGGCTTCTCGTCTACCCTGCATTTCAGACATCAACGAGTGCGAGCACAGGAACCACACGTGCACCTTGCAGCAGACCTGCTACAATTTGCAGGGGGGCTTCAAGTGCATCGACCCCATCCGCTGTGAGGAGCCTTACCTGCGCATCAGCGACAAGTAGGTCATGCTTTCCCTGAGGGAAAGGGGCGTGTGGGTGAGGGGCCTGCTTCAGGAGGCCGGCAGAGCCTGAGTACACCTGCCAGGGGACCCAGGAGGCCTGGTGCACCTCCTGCCACACGCCAGCTGCTCTGTGCCATGCCTCCCCAGTGCCATGACTGAAGGCAGAGAAACTGGCACATTCCTTCTCTGCCCTTTAACAGTCATTCTGGATAACACAGGGACTTGCCTTGCTGGGCCTCCCTTGCTGGTGGAGGGGGAGGATGTTGCTGGAAGGAGATTCAGGGCCCATGAGCTGGGGTGTTTGACAAGCTCCCAGGTGAAATGCACGCTTCTGGTTTCCTGGGACCACTTAAGCATCAAGGAGCTCAAGTGTTTGCTGGAAAGTTCTCTATACTTTGGAGTGTTGGGCTCAGCTCTGATCAAGATTCTGACCTTCCAGTGAACAACATTTTATGAAATCATCAGGTGGCACATGTTAGCACTGAGAAGATTAAAGTAGAAACAGCCTTCACAGGGAGCAGGCACCAGCATTGTGGCTTTCTATTCCTGGCAGCCTAGACGTTCCTTTTCCTTTTCTTTCAGCCCTGTTGATCTATCCTGCTTTGTTTTCCATTTGTCTCCACATGTGCACACATATGCATATAAACACAACATACACATATTCACACACAGGATCACGAGTACATACACACACACATGTATGCACACACAGTCTCTGCACCCCTCAGACACTAGCCCCATGTAGCACCAGGCTTTCCCCTGGGAGGGATGGGCTGCAGTGTATGTGCTGTCCTGCCCTCTCCAGACTCAGCGACTGACAGAGGAGTTCCTGGCTTCCATTGTGGTCCCCACTAGGATTAGAAGCCAGCAGGCCAGGGGCACAGCGAGAGAGGCGCCTGGCCCATGTTGCCTGAGCAGCCCAACTCTGTCTTGTGCTTGAAAGATCCTTTGTGGCAAGACAGAGCTGCAGGCTGCTTCACCGGCATCCATTCCCGATTCTCTCTGGTTAGCTGGGTTTCCGGCTGTGGCCATGTGGTCCTGCCAGGCTGAACAGAACTTGCTGTATCCCTGCCCCAGCATCCCTGGCCACACTGCTCTGTGTGCATGTGCCTCCTGCCATATGGAAGGCAGCTTCCCATGTCTGTGAAGCCAAACCTGCCCCATCTTGTGATGGCGGCTTCCGCGCCACCTCCCCCGGCTCTGCATGATCTGCTTCAGCTGGGAACCATCACTCTCTTCTCCAGAATTCTTTTAGGAAACAGCTCTTTCCACGTGACACATGACATTTTAATGTGGCCATCTTGATGAAGCCTTTAAAAGTGAACTGTCAGGCATTGTCTTCATTGAGTTGTTCCGCGTCACTTGAGCTCTCACTGTGTGATCAGTACTGTGATCCTTGCTCTTCTCTCCCCCACAGCAATGTATCTATTCATTTAAAAGGCAGAGTGACAGGGAGGGATGTAGAGAAAGAGATCTCCCATCCAGCAGTGTGTTTCCCCAAATGGCTGCAGTGGCCTCAGTTGAACTGGAACAAAGCCAGAGGCCTGGAACTGTATCCTGGTCTCCATATGAGTGGCATTCTGAGTCATCTTCCACCACTTTCTCCAGTGCATTAGCAGAAAGCTGGGCTGGAAATGGGGCTGCTTGGAAGCAACCGCTGGGCTCTCACACAGTCTCCTCCTTTCCCCCAGTCGCTGCATGTGTCCTGCCGAGAACCCTGGCTGCCGGGACCAGCCCTTCACCATCCTGTTCCGGGACATGGACGTGGTGTCAGGACGCTCTGTTCCTGCCGACATCTTTCAGATGCAAGCCACCACGCGCTACCCAGGGGCCTATTACATTTTCCAGATCAAGTCTGGCAATGAGGGCAGAGAATTCTACATGCGGGTAAGAGATTAGGGGAGCTAGACTGTTTGTCTTTAGCAACAACCTTGTGTGTGTCACCTGGGAACCTAGTTATGGGTAAGAGCACAGGTACAAGGGACAAACTTGAAAAGAGAAGCCTGGAGGGGCTGTCAGGTAGGAGTTCCAGGTCCTGTTTGCCATCACTGTCTGTGTGGCCTTGTACGAGATACCTGTAACCCTGAAGACCCCTGGCCCATGGAATGAGAACTTAGGCCACACTGCAATCGTAGGTCCCTTTTGTTCCAAAAAGGCTGTGGGAGAGGCCTTCACACCTCTCTTGCCCATCCATTAGGCCAATATTTATCTAGTTCTAGAAAATAAGGATACGGGGTTAGAGAACTGCCCCTTACCTCCACCCTCATGGTGCCCTGTCGACCCTGGCTTGCACAGGTGACCTCTGCCCTCTTCCTCCAGTGCAGTGGCCATGGTGCTCTTTAAGTCACAGTTCAATGATATGGAAAATTGAGCTCTCCCTTGGTGCTGGTCCTGTCCCCAGTGCTTGGTGCATGGCTCCTGCCTTAGATCACTCAGATACAGAGCACGCTTATCATGATAGGAAGTGCGATTGGCTGCGCTTGTCACCAGACGCGAGCGAGATCACACCAGGCATGTCTAAGGTTTATTAAGGAGACTTTATTAACCAAGCTTGGTGATAATAGAGCACATCAAAAACAGCAAATCACAAGTCCATATGGCAATGCAACCAATCATAATCCAACCAAACATAATCCCAAGGAGGAACAAATGGTCATTACCCTGAAGTCCATCTGTTAAGCTGAAGACCTATGTCCCAGCTCCCCCAACGATATAAGAGACATGCAACGAGTAACCTGGACACACAAAGCTGCAGACATTCACCTTTCCCTGGCTTCTCTGCCCACATTCCATCACTGCTAGGCCTCACCTCTCCTGGAACTCCTGATAGTACACAAGCCAGAAACAACATTGCTATATCCATTGTCCCATCTAAGCAGTACACGGGGACCATGCTCAGGGGATTACCTGTCCTGGGTCAGCCAAGAGTCGAGGTGCCAGAGCAATGGAAGCACTTGACCAGAAAGAGAGCGAGCCCAGGCTTCAGGGGCCTTTTTAAAGGGGTTTGTGAGGGGGCGTGGTTACACAACAATGCAAAACCATCCCCTCTCAGATGATAGGTGAGTCACAGGTGGGCAGGAGGGGAAAGTGACTAAGGATGGAATTAACATTCCATTGCTGTTAGGACCCACCTTCAGGACAGAGGGGACACAGCCACATTTCATTTGCCCAGTATCGATGGATGCTGGCTATCACTGGCTGAACCCCATAACACGCTGACTCAACACTAGGATGCAACATGTCTAAGCACAGCATGCTCGCTGTCTTGCAACGTGCAGGCAGGTAGCACTCACTGCCCTGCCTGTGTGTCACTAAGCTCCCTTTCCGGCCGCCCCAGGGGCGGTCACACATCCCTAGAGACACCATTCAGTGTGAATGCAGCCGCTTCATCTCCTCCCCAGCATCAGATCCCTCCCGGAGCACGGTCCAGAGTTGGGGTGCTGCTGTGTCTAGCTCAAGATGGCACAGAAGTGTCCACTCAAGGTTCTGCAGGGCAGGCATCTGAAGTTGGATTCCCTGGGCTAGAGTCTGGGCATGGGCAGGGCCACACACCCTGCCAGGCTAAGGAGGAGGAACCAATCCTTGCCTCCCCCTGCCCTGGTGGCTCCTGGCATCTTATGAGCATGCCCACACCCCTTGAATCTGCCTCCTTGTCTGTGTGCAGCAAGTCTCCCTTTGCTTCCTTCACACAGTGACACTGGTGGGTTGGGTTAGGGTCCATCCGCATAATCCAAGATACTTCTGCAAAGACCCTGGCTCCACAAGAGGCAGCACTTACAGGTTCTGAGGATTAGGCACCTGGGCATCTCTGGGGAGGGAAAGTATCACTCAGCCGACAGCACCCAGGAACCTGCATTTCTAGTAGGCACTGTCTGTGATCCTCCAGGGTTACTGTGTGGAGGCCCTTGGATGTTTCTCCCTTTTCCCAAGAGTTTAGTCCAAGGGTAGGGAACCACGTATTGGAGCTCCTCTGCACTTTTCCAGAGTTTGCCTCTGCCATAGAGATGTGCTAAACACAGGACAGGGTTGGAAGCAAGGTTAGAAATAGCCCCAGGGGCAGGTGGGTCCGGAGCCACAGGGCTCTCCCAGGGAGGTCCCTTGTAGTGGGTGATTGGACGTGGGCTCTGGTGGATTGCTCCACACCCTGGGATGTCCTAACCTGTGACCTTGGTCTCAGCACCTGCCCTCTTGGAGCCACTCACTTCCTCATTGCTCCAGGAACAGACAATAACCATGTTTACCGTGGGATCATCTGCTTGGTGCCATGTCTGCCACATAGCAGGGCATCTTATCAACCGGGTGACGTTCAGAGGAGCTGAGACAGCCAAGAGCTTCCTTTTCCTCCTCTGCTGGGCCTAACCCATGCATGCCTTTCTCTTGCTGCTGGCTGCTTTATTCTCCCGTGGTGTCAGTGAACATGTCAGCCTCTCAGTCCGTGGCAAGGCTCCTCAAGTCCTGACTCAGGGTAGGGGTAGGGAAGGGCAAGGTCGGCTTCTCCATGGCCCTCCTCTTCCACTCCCAGCCATGGCACTGACTCCAGCCCCTGCAGGGTTGGGCCATTCTCTGCTGCTTTCCCAGGCGCATTAGCGGGGAACTGAGTTGAGAGTGAGGCTGCTGAAACATGAACTGGTACCCATATGGGATGCTGGTGTCTCAGGCAGAGGCTTGACTCGCTGGGCCTTTCTCAGACTCAGCAGAGACTGGATTCCATGACCTCTCAGGTGCCTTTCCACAGTTTACCAGGAAAGCCCAAAGGAACAACCTGGAAGTTACCACCTGCTCCATTCTCCCTTCCAGACCCCAAGAAGATCCCCTTTCAGTGTGCTGCCTTTAGTTTAGGAACCCCAACCCTCAGCTTTTGTTCCTTTATGCACACAGTGGAAGCTAGCCAGGGTTGCAGATATCAGTGCCAGGGCAGGGTTACAGGAAAGGTGGGAGGAGAGTGTTCCCCTATGAGGCTGTGCCCTCTGAAGTCCTGGCCCTAGGCCCTGATGTTGTGCAAGGGCTGACAAGGAAGTCCCAGCTATCGTCCACATGAGCAAGTGCCAGTTACGCCAGTGCTGACGGGAACGGATGGAGCCACTGCCAAGAGGAAATGGGCCAGCTGTCAGCTACCCATTGCCCAGTGGAAGTGGACAGGGCAGTTCCATTCTTGATCTGTACCTACCTGCCCACCAGCCTGCCCTGCCTGCAGGCCTGTCCTAGTTCTTAGGGGCATTCAGAGCTTTGTGGGGTACCCCGCCTTTATGGAGACAGGTGCAGCCTTCAGTTCATCTAGCCCCTTGACTGAGCAGGGGCCCATGCAGCTTGTGGAAGCCTTTGTCTTGTATTGTCGGGGTTACAGGTGCCCTCTAGCCACCCTCGGTTGCCTGCTGTACTACCCATTGCATCTGCCCTCAGGGACTGGGCTGGGGATAACAGAACTTTCACCAGTCTGCTCTGTTGTTATGCTGTGACAAAAGCCTGGGGCTCAGTGCCAGGTGGAAATACCAGATGGAAGCTCTGCCAGAATCTCTGAGTGACCCCAAGCCATTACTTAACCTCTCTGGACCTTAATTTAGTTGTTTATAAAATGGGGGAATCATGAGACACACCACAGAATAGCCCTCAGAGCAGCTGGAATCCCTCACCAGGGTCCTGAGCCTTTATATTGACATTTAACACTTTTCCTTTTCAAAAGGTTCATCACTTTTATTTGAAAGGCAGAGTTAGAGAGAGAGAGCTTCCATCTGCTGGTTCACTCCCCAGATGGTTGCAACAGCTGGGGCTGGGCCAGCCTGAACCAGGAGTCTGGGGTTTCTTCCTGTTCTCCCATAGGAATGGCAGGGACTCAAGCACTTGGGCCATCTTCTATTGTTTTCCAAGACCATTAGCAGGGAGCTGGATTGGTGCCCATATGGAATACTGGCATTCCGGACAGCGATTTTACCCACTGTGTCCAACACTAGCCCAGGCATTTTGTAATTTTCAATGTGTACATGAATCAACCCAGGGTTGTGCTACCCTGCAGCTCCTGGCTCAGGCTATCCTAGGTGGAGCCTGAGCTCCTCCACTCATTGTGACACTGATATTGCTGGCCCGCAATCCACACTTGGAGTAGCGAGGCTAGTCAGGGATTTTATGGGGAGCAAATAAGCAGATGTGCATCATGGCTGGAAGGATACATCAGCCTGGTGGCTGCTCACCGTTGTCAGGTCTCTGCGTGCCTCCTTGCAAGTTCCAGAAATAGTCCACAGAGGAGCAAAGTTCATATGGGCAATTAGATCCACAGTGAGGGGTCACGGAATACAGTAGCCTTGGCTATCTGTGTGCTGCAGGCTGCTATGTAAGGGCCCTTCCCAAGGGTCCTCCACAGATAGAACTGGAAAACCCTGGATCGGGTCCCTGCGAATGTGAGGTTTTCAAAAGTTCCCTAGGTGCATCTGATGCCTCATGTTTGGAGTTGCCACTCTAGTCCAAACCCTCAGTTTAGAGATGCGGCACCGAGAGGTAGAGGGAGAGCCTTGCCACACAGTAAGCTCCACTAACAGCTCAGTCATTCATCCAAGATACAGGGTGGTTCCTTGGTGTCTACAGAAGACTATAGGACCCTGCAGATGGCAGTTCTTTAGGATACTTAAGTCTCCTAAATAAAATAGTGTAGTATTGAGGTCAGCGTTGTAGCATACCAGGTTAAGCTTCTGCTTGGGTGCTGGCACCCATATGGGCATATGTTTGAGTCCCAGCTGTTCCACTTCCAATCCATGTCCCTGCTAATGCACCTAGGAAAGCAGCAGAGGATGGCCAAAGTACTTGGGCCCCTGCACCCATAAGAGAGACCCAGAAGAATCTCCTGGCTCCTGGCTTCAGCATTTAGGAAGTGAACCAACAGATGGAGGTTTCTCACTCTGACTCTGCCTTTCACATAAATAAAATTCATATTTAAAAAGGTCCAATATTTTAACAGAAGCTGTGTCCTGCTCCTTGGTGTATTTCACATCACCTCTAGATGACATGTATGGCTTCCTGTAGGTGTACGTTGTGAACAGATGTTCTGCTGCATTGGTTAAGGATCAATGACAAGAAAAACGGTCCGCACATGTTCAGGTTGGGTTGAGTTGGTTTCTGAATCGTTTTAACTTGTGGTTGACTGAATTGGTGTATGTGGAACCCATGGGTGTAGGGTCCTTATCCTGACTGTATCCCCCAAACACCTGCTATGTTCCAGGTACCTGGTGGGGGCCTGGGGGCATTTACTGAGGAGCCTGACCTTGACCTTGATCCCTTATGGGGCTCATGACTAGCCAGGCACAGAGGAGATAGGTAGTTACACACAGTCCAAAACCTTTGAGTTCTTCACAAGTGCAGAGGGGCTGTGGGGACCAGGGTTAGACTGGGGCATTGCCTTTTTGGAAGCGATTTTTCAGGTTGGCAGGAAAGAGCCAGGTGGCAAGTGGGCAAAGTTGGGGTACAAGTGTGGCACAACCGAGGCAACAGGTGGGCAGTTGGTGGAGGTGGGGATGATGTCAGCCAGGCCTGGTACTCCCATCGGGCCGTCTCTCACTGCTGTCCCCTGGATCTGTCCACAGCAAACGGGTCCCATCAGCGCCACCCTGGTGATGACACGTCCCATCAAAGGCCCCCGGGACATCGAGCTGGACTTGGAAATGATCACTGTCAACACCGTCATCAACTTCCGGGGCAGCTCCGTGATCCGACTGCGGATCTACGTGTCGCAGTACCCATTCTGAGCCCCCGGCGGCGGCGGGAGCCTCTGACACTGCCCTTCACCAGCACCCAGGGACAGCAGGAGAGGGAACGAGAGGGAGGAGGAGGGCGAGGCAGACTCGTTGAGCGTGTCCCCTAGGATTCAGTCCCCCGACCCCTGCCTGCACCATCGCAGACCTGTCACCCCGAAGGACACCCCCATCCCCAGTTGCTCTGACACAGTTGCCCACAAGTATTGTCCTTGACCCTGTGTGGGAGGTCCCCAGTGAGCTCTACACCCATGTTTTTCAAACAAAAGAGATGAAGTTGGCTGGGGTTTGAGTCTGCGTTCGAAGACTGTGAACAGCCCGCTCTTCCCCTCTTCCAGGCCTGCTTGCTCCTCTCGCTGTGTGGCTGCTTTGCAAGTGCCTGCTGGGCCACGCTGGGCCACGCTGGGCCACGCTGGTTATAGCTAGGTGCCTTCTCGCTCATACTGAGAAGCCAGTGCAGTAAACCACAGCAGAATGGGAGTCACTCTCAAAGCCATACCTGATACTTTCTGCCATCAAAGAGGTTTGACCTGTCGTTAAGTGTGTATAACTGTTTAATCCGTTCTGTTTTGAGTAATTTTTAAAGTAAGTGCTAGCATTCTTTAAAAAGGCTTCAACACATATTATCTTCTGTCTTCCCACACCCCCAACTACTCTTCATTTTACCCCAGTGTTTTCTTGGCCACCCATCCCCCCACAGCCCCATCATGCTTTTTTTTTAAAAAGAATTTTTATCTAACTGGGTTGGAAGGCAAAGGTCTCCAAACCAATTAAATATTTGAAGAGATCTTATGTTTGTTTCATTTTGACACCCCAAAGGGTTCCATATATGTGGTTGGTTCTTGCTCTGATTAAAACCTGCTTATTGTGGCCTGGCATGGAAGGCTCCTCCTGGGGCACACTGGCATGGGTGGTGGGCAGAGGATGGGGATGGCAGAGAGGGTAGGAGGAGCTTCAGTTCCAAGGTCTGTTTCACTCGACCTGAAAGAAGCTTCTTTGGGGGGTTAATCTGAGTACTGTCCTGAAACACGAGTGTATTTGTGTTCCTCTACACCCAGCCCTGGTGGCTACACAGGACAGCTAGCGGAACTTTGAAGAGGAAGAAGTGCATTCCCTGGCACCCTCTTCCAGGGTATTGGTCTTAGGCAAGGCCTGTACATCAGCATTTTCAAAAACAAACAAAAACTACTCAGCCCTGGCTGTTGTGACCATTTTTAAAAAGATTTATTTATTAGTTTTATTGGAAAGTCAGATCTACAAAGAGAAAGAGAAACACACAGAAAGATCTTTTGTTCACTGGTTCATTCCCCAAGTGGCTGCAACAGCTGGAGCTGAGCTGATTCGAAGCCAGGAAACAGGAGCTTCTTCTCCCACAAGGGTGCAGGATGCCAAGGCTTTGTGCTTCCTTCATTGCTTTCCTGGGCTACAAGCAGGGAACTGGATGGGAAGTGGAGCAGCCAGGATACGGACTGGCACCCATATGGGATGCCAGTGCAAATCAAGGACTTTAGCCACTAGGCTACTGCACCAGGCCCTGTTGTTACCATTTAAGGAGTGAACCCGTATCTCTCCACCTATACCTGCACTCTCCTCTTGTAACTCTTACTTTCAAATATGTATAAATCTTATTTTTAAAAATCTCATAGACTGCCAAAGTTGAGAATTCCTTATTATACATTGCATTCACTTTTTTTTTTTTGGCTCTGATGAAATTCCTGAGACAGGCTACTAAGAGCTTTATGTTGGCTCAGGGCTATGGTCAAGGGCCATCCAGTGATGATCAAGTCTCGTTGGCCAAGCCTCAAGGCAGCACAGGGCATCTCTTGGCTCATGCGTGTCTGTGTCTGCTCCAGCCTCTCCCGCTCTTCTGATGCCATTGACCGGCATCCAGTGCGGGGCTACACCCTAACAACCTTATCTAGTCCACATCAACCCCCCTTGATGTGCCTCCTGTAAGTACCATAACTGGGCTAAGCATTGCTCTCTTAGCTCATAGTGGAAATATTTTTGTTGCTGTTAAAGATTTATTTATTGATTTGGAAGGCATAGGGAGAGACACAGTTACCTGTCACCTACTTGTTGAAGACCCTTCCATATCCAGGGCTAGCCAGGCTGAAGCCAGGACCAGAGCCTCCATCCAGGTTTCCCATGTGAGTAGCTGAGATTCAAGTGCCTGGCCCACCATCTACTGCCTCCCAAGGGCGTTAGCAGGAAGCTGAATTGGAAGTGGAGTAGTGGGGACTTGAACTGGCACTCTGGTATGGCCTGGGGACATTCTAAGCCATGGTCTAATTCGTTGTGCTACATCCTCTGCTCTCACAACAGCAATTAAATGCCAGCCTGGGTTTCAGGGAACAAACAATGTTCAAACTGTGGCATAAGCTCTAGAAAGAGCAGTGGATAGAAAGGGCTGGGTCCTGAGTGCTCTGCCCTCCATGTCTTTTCAGTTCATTGCTGGATTCATTGTCCCTTTCCTGAATAGGGACTCTGGATTTTGCTCAAGCCGAGGAACCCCAGGCAAAGGCACAGAGAATGTTCCAGGTCTCAGACTGGAGTACAGGTCAAGACAGCAGCTTGCTGTCCCAGCTGGAGGTTTCAGACACAGACAGCGCTGAAAGCTCTGACAGCATGGGGCCATCTCCCTGATCCATCTGTGAAGCGATATGGACGGGGAGTTCAAAAAGTTCATGATAAAACAAAAGTGTATGAGTTTACTTTGGTAGAAAAGAAATTTTATTTATTTATTTCAAAGTGTAATAGAGGCCCCATTTGCTGGTCTGCTTCCCAGATGGCTGAAACAGCCAGGTCTGGGTCCAAAGCCAGGAGCCAGGAACTCCAGCCTGGTCTCCTATATAGGTAGGTGGCAGAGGCCTGAGTCCTTAGGCCATCTCCAGCTTCCTTCCCAGGAGCATCAGCAGGAAACTGGGTGGGAAGTGGAGCAGCCAGGACGGAAACCAGCATTTTTGATACGGGATGCTGTGTGTCACAGGTGGTGGCTTGATCTGTGTGCCATGATGCTGAGGCTGCAAGCAAGACTGGAAATCCACATTTAGATTTTTCGTGATACATGTTTCCCATGTGTTGTCCTAACTTTGCCATAACCAATGTGGAGCACATGCAAAGTACATGCAGTGGTGGTTGTGCGGGTTCAGCCATGACGTCAGCAGCAAACCCTCCCTCGGAAGGCTCTGCCCCAAGCAGAGAGGTGATTTCCTGCAGGCCTTCCAAGGGGTGAGCTGGGCTGGGGCTCCCCAGCGTGGGGAGGTAGAGGCGTGGGAACGGGGTGTGGAGATACTGGATATTCCTGGGAGCTCAGAGCCGCAGGGCTCCAGGTTTCCTTCCACTGCCAGAACAAGAGCCTGGTCTGGCAGTTTGAGGCCCTGGGGAGTTCCAAGGTGCCACACTTGGAATCAACCCCATCCTCAGGGCTGGGTGTTTTATGGGTTCGTGTCAAAATGCAACTTGCTGCTTCTAAGAAACAGGCACGGAGAAACTCTTTAAAAGCCAGCTCGGAGGGCCTCTCGGCCCACAGTTTGCTCTTTCAAAACCTGGTCTGGTGAGGCCAGCTGAGTGAATCAGAAGCATGTGGGATCAATTTACCTTCAAACACGCTGGGGCCTCAGGACTCAAGGCGAGGGGTGTCCTGTAAGGCCACGCCCCTGCAGCCAGGCAGGGAGGTTCCAGGGATTCCCAGAACCCTGAAAGCTTTGTGCCTGACCTGGCCACACCTGGGGAACCCACTGGTGCTATCATTTCGATTGTTTTTCTTTGTTAAAAATTTATTTTTTATTTGAAAGAGAAAAAGCAGGAGAGACAGAGATCTTTTATCTGCTGGTTCACTCTCCAAATGGCTAGAGCTGGCCTGGTTTGAAGACAGGAATCAAGAGCTTCTTCCAGGTCTCCCATGCGGGTGCAGGGGCCCAAGCGTTTGGACCATCTTCTGTTGCTTTCCCAGATGCATTAGCAGGGAGCTGGATCAGAAGCACAGCAGTTGGAGCTCAAATTGGTGCCCACATGGAATGCAGGCGCCACAGGTGGAGGTTTCACCTGGTGTGCTCGGCAGCTGTTTTGATTCTTTTTACAAGATTAGATTGATGTTCGGTTTTAAACGCACTTAAAGTTCTTACGTTCTTACGCACCAGCTAATTCCTGTAGCCAAGTCCTCTTTTCGCGATTTAGTTTACTGTCGAATACCAGACACGAGGAGATACTAGAAGGTCCTTTTATTCCAATGGAGTAGGAATGGGAGCCTGGGCGGGGGCAGGAAGGGAAACATCTCCTGCCATGTTGGCAGGATGAGGGCTACCAAGGCAGGGGACAAGATGGAGAAGGCCAGGGAAAGAGCCAGGTAAATAGGGAAGTGGGGGGAGGAATAGAAGAGACAGGCTGTGGGCGGGCCCCAGGGACAGGTGACCGAAATTATCTGAGCCTTAGGTAGGTGGGTGAGGACTAGGGGGAGGGGCCTCAGAGACTGTGGGGTGGAGTTCTCAGGTAAGAGGCCTTGACATTACATTTCATTGGTGGATAATCGGAACAACACGAATTTCAGCAGCAGGGGGAAGGAGAAGCCGGAATTGGCACAGGGTCCAACATGGGATGTTAGAATCGCTTCTCAGGCTGGGGCCAGACCTGCCTGTGAGTCTTGCATTGTGCCCCAAAGTGGAGGCTGGCCAGACCGACTGCTCCTGAATCTCTAAGGTGTCTAACTCCCCAGCCCTGGTCCCAAGCTCGTCTGCCCCAGGATCCCTGAATTGGACTGTCCGTCCTGTCTCGGAGAAGGAAGGAGACTGCTGGAAGAGATGCAGGTGTAAGAGCCAACACCTGCCAACGTCCTGGAGGTGCACCTGGCCTTCCGTGTTCCAGACGCATGAAAACATTCCTTCAGTTGTGTCTCATTCGAAAGTTTTGTGATTCCTTGAAATGTGCTTTGGGGAGGATGGCCAGCTTGCCCATTAAACTGTCATTTTAGAGGCTCTTGGTTTGCCAATTCTAACACTTCCTAACTGGCACCAAGTCTGCGTACCTGTGGCCTCTCGGGCTTGGGTGACATGCTTAGAAAGTTTCCTAGGTAACAGTCTTGGCTGTTATTTGTCCAGATGGTAAAAATATTGAAGGAGGCCCGATGACTTTGTTTTTGGTGGTTTCTGTGGGTTGGGGCGGTCTCTGTGTTAACTATAACGAGTAAGCGTTGTGTATGCTGAACCAGCAGGGTCACCCAGGGGGGCGGTGACATTGGGGTGCTGTCTCTCACTTGCAGAATGAAGCCCTGCTCATGGCCCTGCTTCAGGACCTGCGTCGCTTGAGCCGTTGCTGGTTCCAGAGAGACACACACCAGGGTGCAGAGGTAACACATTTTCCCGTGGTACACACAGGCTTGGAGAGAAACAGGAGTAACAAGGCCAGAGTTGTGTTAGCAGTGTAAACAAAATCGTTTCACTTAGGTGTTCACCCCTATGAAGGTATACCTATCTCTTGGCGTCAAAGTTCTTAGGAACTCCCACAGACATGTTTGACATTTAGAGCATAGGCCGCTGCTCAGAATTATTAAACACCCATTGCTTCTTGGCCTTTTGGCTAAGATCAAGTGCAGAATTGTTAAACACCCTTCAGGGGAACACCAACTGAATGTGAGGTGAGGGTTCTCACCTGGATGCATGTTGCGTGTTCTTGGAAATGCACTGTTTCCAAGGGGGGAGAGAAGCGAACGTTTAGGGAGGCTGTTTGTTATCTTGGAATTGGCCAGTGCTCAGCTGCTACAAACAAATACACACATTGTT